GTTAATAATAGTTAGTCTCTGCTCAAGACATTATGGTATTGTGTTTAAGTGTCAAATGAGAGTCTGTACCTGCAGACCATTAAAGCACAGTGCCCATTGAGCCTAGTATTAGTAAACAGTCTTATGGGTCTGAAACTTTGTTATACATGCATGATACCAATACAAACTCACAACTGACAGGGGATTGTGCTTGCTTGCAAACTATCCTTGACCAGCATCCAATCTGGTGTGTTTATTGATCGTATTTGAAGATATATATCCGACCGCTCCAATGCCAATTGTAGCAATCAGCGGAGTATAAGATGCGTGAGTCATCCTATCAAAGACTCATTCATGGTCATTCGGCTGGAAAATTGCCACACTGTGACACCGTCATCCGTCGGTAAAGTGTGATGACCGATACTTCTGCGGCACGGCCAGCGCCTTGAGCGCCACTACCAGGCCAGCAAAGAAAATGAACAGGAGATGTGATCAGTTTAGCTTTAGGAAGCTCTAGAATAGCTCTGATGACAAATTGCAACACTGGCTAATTATAAATGTACCTTTGTTTACATATGGCTTTTGAGATTTTATATTCTTATAATCTTCCTCCTCCTCCTCCTCCTCCTCCTCCCCCTCCCCCTCCCCCTCCCCCTCCCCTTCCCCCTCCCCCTCCCCCTCCCCCTCCCCCTCCCCCTCCTCTTCTTCTTTCCGTGCTATAATGGCAATTTGTCAACTTTCACTATTGTCACCAGTTTCATCACATCTGTATTTTCCTCTCTTTCTCTTAAATGTCTTGGTGAAATTACTTCTTCCCAATCTCATTTTAATATAATAATCAGTCATAGTCTATCTATTTTGATGTAATAAAATAGAATAACATTTCAATTTAAACCACGATCAGCACACAGTTAAAAACTCATGCTGGCCCTGTCCTTTCAAATGTTATGGTATCGATCAAGCGTTACCCTGTAAAACCCGAAGAAAATATATACGTATTGAGATATTGCAGTGGGAATGTACGCCTTAGTTTGGGGTTGGATTTATCTGAACAAGATAATTTTTGGATGATTCCTATCCCTATGGGTTATGACGATAATAATAATAATAACGTTTTATTTACCCAGGGTAGCCACTTCAGTTATGAAACTGGTCTTCCAGCGGGCCCTGCATAACATAATGTTATTACCAGGGCTCAAATTAATTGTTTGTCCACGGGGCTCTTCTCCCCCCCCCCCCAAAAAAAAAGAGCCCCCGTGAGCCTTCTCACGGGGGCTCTTTTTTATACAAATATCCATTGAATTGGTACCTATGATACTCCTCAATTATTTGCTATTTCATCATTATCATTTCAATCAGCATTTTCCCTCTTACAAATTTACAAGCTACATAGCTGTTACTGGCCTGTGTATATAATATATACGCATACAACACTGATCTTTATGATGTCTTTAACGTGACATATCTGCTTCTCCCCTTGCAAACGAGAAAGAAAACAAGGTCATTAAAAGGGATTAAGCGACAAATAATGATTGTGATTCAAATTGATGCGAATATTTGTTTGAATAAGCACTGCTATTCACCCAAATCTTCTTTGTAAAAACAACTTTTACAAATCTCAGCCATGCTTACTGAGTTGAGACGTTCCATTCAATGTAAAATACTCATTAAAGAATGCACTTCTCCTAATCTAAAAGTGATCTTACAACACAGTGGCAGATTTGCATGGCTGAGATTTGTAAAAGTTGTTTTTACAAAGAAGATTCTGGTGAAAAGCATTGCTTATTCAAAAAAATCCTTGCATCAATTTGAATCACAATGATTATTTGTTGTATGATCCTTTTATTAAATAACCTTGTTTTCTTTTTTGTTTGCAGGGGGAGAAGAAGCTATGTCACGTTAAGAAATCATAAAGATCAGTTGTATTATGCGTATATACATTTATGATACCAGAACAAATGTTGATTTATCAGAATATCATTTTGGAATACCTCTATACAAATACCACATTGTCTTTAGCCCGTATCAGTATTAGTATGATCCAATATAAAGCTATTATTCTTTATTAAATTCAGTATAATGCTTTTCCTCAAAAATAGTTTTGCTATTTTTTTAGGGTTAAGACGCTAAGAAAAGGTTTCAAATGTACATTACACTCTCTCTCTCTTTATTTTAATCATGCATTATCAACTACATATAAAGCAGCAACCAAAAACTTAGGGTTATCTGAGATAGGTGAAAGTAAGAGTTAAAAAGAAAGTCATGCTAAAACGGCGCTTCACTCCCCCCCCCCCCCCCCCCCGCTTTAATATCACATTTTCACTTGGCAGCCCAAGGGGGCCGAAGGGTGGGAGGAGGGGGTTAAACCCCCTAACCCCCCCCCCCCCCCCCCCCCCCGTGCCCATGTTACCATATCATTCCACGACATCTTGGTCTTCCTCTTCTTCTCAGTAGGGACTTTTAGATTTGTGTGGACGTGCACTGGCAGTCACATGTGACGTCCTTTTAAGCACTGGCACTGCCTTAAAAGGAGGTCACACGTTGCAGTCCACGTTCTCATCTTGCAAATCTAAAAGTCCCTAATATTGATTTACTGGTCGAGGTTCATTATTTTGCTGGTCATTTGAAATCACCAGATTTCAGCCGGTTAACGCTTTCACAACAAAAAACTTCTCCGTGACCATGTTTCTGCCCTTGCACGATCGCCTCCAGCTCCAGCAGACATGGCGCGGCAGCGTGCACACATACCGCTACTAGCGGCGCAGTAGGCCTATAACCACTACTGATGGCGGCACTGCACTGCGAGCTGAATCGGTAATAATAGGCCTATACTCATAAAACGAGAAATCTTGCACGCTAATCTAAGTTCCATTTCATTGGTTTAAGGTTTGAAAATTGAAACTCAATATTGTGTTAAAGCTATAACAGAAAAGATAATCTTTATTTTATAATTCCACGGGGGCGATTTTAAATTTTGCAATCGCCCCCGTCAGCAACCTGACGGGAGCGATTATGTAGCTCACGGGGGCGAATCGCCCCCCGCCCCCGTGTATTTTGAGCACTGGTTATTACTACCCTTCTCCAATCTAATATGCTGAGCGCCTAGCTAGAAGGCAGGGGGTCCCATTGTTATAAGTCTTTGGTATGACTCGGCCAGGGATCGAACCCATGACCTCCCATTCATGAGGCGGGCGCTCTAACCACTGAGCCACAATGCCACAATACAGGAGTGGTCCTCAGAATAATGTTTTAAAGGTAAAGACCAGTATTGGAAACGCCCTAATTTCAAAAAATGAAATGGAAGCTCTTATTACCAATCATGTGAAAGAATATGATTTGACTAATACATGGTGATAAAAAATTTGCCGGGAAGCCGCCTACTAATTGATATATTTGGTAAATTAGTTTATCTATTGGTGTGTGAGAGATAAACGCACGTGTCACGCACGTGTCTGTAGTCCCATATACCGTACATCTTTCTGTGTACAGTGCTTGTAACTTTACAAAGACTGGGCCAAATTTCTTATCACTTAGATGATTCCAGAACCTTGCAGTACAAACCAATACTTATATGCTAGATGATCAACCTTTTCTGTTTGATTCCACAACGTTTCTTTCACAATGCAATCGCATGACCGTAACTTGTCTTTATCTTTAAGCATCCAAAAACAATTAATCAACAAATTAAGATTGTCGGTTGTGTGTATGTTGTATTTTGTTACCACTAGATAACCAAAGACTTTAACCCTAAAGAAATCCAATTTGTTTGCTTTGAAACAGGACACTAGACCGGAATGATGTTACACGTAAATTTATGATTCATATAGGATTTAGGACATAAGGTGGCGCTGTTCAATTTTTTGATTTGAGAAGCATTCATGTGTACATGCATTCCCAGTATAATTAATGTTTTTGAGTCATCAGGGATTTGTTGACTTTCAATAATATACCAGAAATGAACATGGGGATTTTATATCTCTAAAGATTGATATTGAGAAGGCTTGCCTGAGGTTTTAAAAGACACATGCAGCAACAAAGTACCCTAATGACACATACATGTATCTCAATTTCTTTGCATGGAGTTTTGGGTATATTGTTATTAATATTTTTTTTTTGTATTTCATGTTTTGATGATTCTTTTCATTACATTTTTTTTTATTTATACCAGTGTGGAATAGAGTCTCAGAACATTTGGTCCATTAGAAATGAACATTAGACATTAGACATGAAAATGCATAACCTCAGCGATTTAAAAAAAAATCTAAAAAAAATCAAATGTGTCCTATGTGTGTGTGTGATATCAGTCAACTGGCAGCCCCCAGTTTGATCCAATGGTTGACCAAAGTAAGATTAAGATTGATCAATTGAAACTAAGTTGTGTCTTTTAATTTAATATTTTCCTGAAACTACAACATTCGTCAAGATTTCTTAAAATGATTTTTTTCCTATCACCGTAATTAAAGTTGTATAAACCGCCCTCGTGAATAAACCGCACCCCTCTTTTTCGCCCCCAATTTTTTTTTTTTTTTTTTTTTTTTTGCCTGACTTTTTTTTTGCCGACTTTTTTTTTCCCGACTTAAAAAACAGTAGAGGACCTAGGGTAGAACCTTGTGGTACGCCACGTAATAGAAGAAAAATTGGAGGAATTATTATTATAAACTACATATTGAAATCTATCAGAAAGATTACTTTCAAACCAAGATGACAGACAAATTTGAGTGTTGTTCTAGTTTCCGAGTGGTGAGTCAACACCCCGATTACTGAGCTGGGAGACGTTGCCAGGCATAGCCCCAGGTGAAGGGGCATAAATCGAAACTTTAAATTTTGAATTTTTTTCGGGGGCAAAAAGGTGCGGTTAATACACCGTTAATTACGGTACATACCGGTTTCTTTTATTCCTCTTACTTATCTCCTATTCCTCCAAATACGAGACTGATCACGTTATTAGATTAAGATTAATTAGATAAAAACTAAATTTCTGTCGTTTTTCTTCCATATTTTTCTTCTACATTTTCCTCTAGGTACGACACCGGTGGCGATAACTTCATCGACATGATGGAGTTGAAGTACATGATGGAGAAGCTGGAAGCTCCTCAGACTCACTTGGGTCTCAAGGCAATGATGAAGGAAGCAGACGAGGATTTGGATGACATGATCAGTTTCAGGGAGGTTCGTTCACATTCAACACTTCAGGGGGGTGTTTCACAAAGATCCTAAGTTGAAATTACTAAATGATGATTCAAATCATTCATATTTTATTATCAAGGAGATTTCTTGTTCTTAATGTGGAATTTATGAGAAGTCTAAAATACTTGAATTTTTGCATTTGAATATATTTTATTTTAAGGCTACAAATGCTTAGGATCTTTGTGAAACACCCCCCTGATTGCTTCACTTTTCTTCCTTTTTTCTCAGTTTCTACTAATCTTCAGGAGGGCATACATGCCTCTTTATTCAAATGAACATTTATTTTCTTCCAAACAATACAATTTATAAGTAGGAACATAAATATAATTAAAGAACTTGTATTACAAGGAAGAAGGCGCGAAACCTGATAAGCATAGCTTGTAATGGGTACGCCCGAATAAACAAATACAATTATACATTATAAATGGGAGAAAGGAAGAAAGGGATAGGCAAAGAGGAGAGGAGGATAGAGAGCTATAAAGGAAGAAATCCAATGTTGCCAATTTGAAGAAGATAGGATTTAATCACTTTTCTTCCTTTCTTCTCAGTTTCTACTAATCTTCAGGAAGGCAGCAGCGGGTGAATTGATGGAAGATAGCGGTTTAAATCTACTAGCCCAGCTCTCAGAGATCGACGTTGACGAAGAAGGTGTCAGTGGGGCCAAGAACTTCTTTGAAGCCAAGGTAGGTTTGGTCTTGGACCCTGGGTAGGTTTGGTCTTGGACCCTGGGTAGGTTTGGTCTTGGACCCTGGGTAGGTTTGGTCTTGGACCCAAGGTAGGTTTGGTCTTGGACCCTGGGTAGGTTTGGTCTTGGACCCTGGGGAGGTTTGGTCTTGGACCCTGGGTAGGTTTGGTCTTGGACCCTGAGTAGGTTTGGTCTTGGACCCTGGGTAGGTTTGGTCTTGGATCCTGAACCTTGGAAGAGATCATAATCCCTGAAGCAACTTTTTCAAAGATACACTGAGATGGGATAATATGTTTTATGTTATGTTTTATGTCATTGTTATTTTGTATGTTACCATGTATATATAGGACCAATGTGAAAAGCAGCTCTGGCTGAAGTTTTCATCCTGTGTAAATATTCTAAGATAAATGAGTGAGTGAGTGGGTGGGTGGGTGAGTGAGTGAGTGAGTTGTGACAGCAGTTGATGGCGCAGACAACTACAAAACGGTGTAAAATCCTGTACCACCTTGTGGCGTTAAAAGTCACACCAGCGAGACTGATCTATAACAGACCGATCAGAAATTCATGTTACCCCGATTTGCCAAGTATTGGTGGGTTTGGAGTCGATGTGGTGTCGGTTTGACGATGTGGACGATATTGTCAACAAAACACCATTTCAGTCAGAAGATTACGTGTCGACATAGAAGCTGATGTAGATAACATGCGACATAGTTATGATATTTAACTTCAATTTTCCTCTTTAAATATCTAACGGAATAGAATTTGACATTATGCAAACTCCAGATTGTTATTTTTGTAACATTGCTTTTAGCTGTTTCAGTGTTTATAGATTATTGTTATACTCCATTTCATCGGCAATGTCCTTGCACATGAAATTAACCAATCATGTCTTGCAGGCAATTGTTGACAACGGCCATAAATTTGATCCGCCATGCCGACAAAGAAAATTGAATTCGACAAAAGCAATGCAAGTAAGTCTCTCTCTCTTTACATGCCATGTCCTGAGACGTTGGGCGACCATGGAATGCCACAATTCTCTTTCCTATGAAGTAATTTATTCTCCCAGAGATCAAGCAAGTAGATATTTTAAATTATCTGATTTGATTGTTCATTTTCCAGATCGCAGTACAGACGCAAGAAGGCAAATTCCATCAAGAGATTCTGGATGAACAAGAAGAGAGGAGGCAAGAAGCCGAAGTGAAAAAGGTCAGGCAACAGCAGTTCAGAGAAAAGGCCGCCCTCTTTAATTCGTCATGAGATAATGCCGGCTGACGGAAAACAATCAAGGGATACAAGAAGCAGAGAGCCATATTAACATGGGAGACTGTATCGAACCTGGGTACTAATTTTCGGTTGTTAGAAACTGCAATTTTTGAAATTATTATGGTTGTCTTTCCATATTTCGTTGAAGAATCAGGGAGAGAGAAAAACAAATACACACCCCGGACTGCCTACTTTACCCTTGTTTTCTATTCAGCCTCTCCTGTGCAAATTTTCAATACCTTAAGGGGACCGTTTATCAAAAAGTACAATTAATCCTGCTTTAGTGACCTTCTATACAGTACATCCCAGAAAAAACGAAACCAAGAATTATCTATGTTTTAGCATAACTAAAGCCTTGGTTACAAATGCCAATTTGAACTGTTACGAACGCCATACGAACGTTTTTCAGACAATGGAAATTCGGGCAGACAATGGAAAAACGGAGATTTGTACGAAATTATCGTTTGTACGAACATTTTTGTGACCGTAGCATTACCGGTAATCACATTTATAATTAATAAATGTCACATATTTGTAAAGCTTAGATCCTCCTCTTCCATTTGATGAGACTCATATGATGCATATTCCATGTATGAGTGATTAAAAACAATTTGAAAAGAGGGTACCCAAAAGTCATTTGGCAGGCGGTATCTGAATTTTAAAGGAAAAATCACATTTCTAGAAAGTTCATTTTCTGCCCTTTCATATGACACCTCAATCAGAAAAAATGAGCCAGGAATAAGAAAGTTCTGTTGATTTAAAGTAATGCTTGCATTTCCATAATTTGATTAAACGAATTCGTTTTCACTGGCTGACTGCCATAGCAACAAACAGGTGACAAAAGACTTGACTCCATTTCGTTGGCGATATGATAAAGCATCAATAATTCTCGGTTTTGTTTTTTCTGGGACGCACTGTATAGAAAGACCATCTGTCTATAGAGTCCCTATTTTCTTGTCTCCCTCGAGCGGTCTTTATACATATCTTTCTCTGTTTAGTGTTTAAAGACTTAAAGTCTATAGCCTGGTACAGTGAAACCTGTCTATAAAGACCACCCAAGGGAGACAAGAAAAGTGCTCTTTATAGGCAGGTGGTCTTCATGTACAGGTTCCTTTAGTACATGTTTCAATGAGAAACCATTTTCAAGGGAAACAAAAAATGTGGTCTTTGTAGACAGGTGGTCACTATTTAAAAGCAGGTTTGACTGTAGTCTGGTATTGAACCTTTGACATTCTCAAATTTCAGTAAAAATGGAACCTAAAAATGGAATTCATGCTAATTCTGTAGAACACAAACAATTACTGTGACCAAAAATCAAATCGAACCAATTATCTACGAGTAGAGGTATTTGGTCAAATTAGTAGCATTTAGGTGGTGGGATTTCTCAGTTTCCTGTACAATATTTCATGACTGTTTTAGTCAATTATAGATAATGGTATATTGTATTGGAATGATCTGTGTCGATATTATTAGAATTGGGTATGATTTGGAAGAGGGGTTTGGTGTTACGGTTGTATAAATTTGTTTTTTGAACATATATAAATGTGCTATGTAGAATAATCACACTATGCTTGAGTACGGTAGTTGCTTTTGAACATATTGTAAAAATATATAAATGAGTAGTTTAGATAACTTTTTATACACGTACATATACTGTGCAGGCTTGACTGATAGATTTACATGATAAAGCCACTTCTGCTTGCTGCTATAGCTGCATTTGAAAATTACTATTATACCCCATTCACAGTGGCCTCAAACACCGCGACAGCAGCGGGACTGTCCCGCTGCTGTCGCGGTGTTGTCTTCAGTGTGAAGGCTCGGACCCGTTATAAACTATCGCGGGATAACACCGCCTAGCGATAACGCCGACACAAACTATCGCTAGGGACGCCTAGCTACAGCAGCGGGACAGTCCCGCTGCTGTCGCGGTGTTTACTCAGTGTGAAGGCTCTCCGCTATAACACCGCGACAAACACGTGTGATTTGTTTACTTACCTATCACTGACCTCTTTTCTACAGCAATGGGGAACATCAAGTGAAATAGAAATAAAGTAACCAGTGGATTCAAATTGATTTTATTATTATGTAGGTATTATAATTATCCAAATAAAAATATTTCACACTTCAAAAAATTAAAATATTCTGACTGGAAGCAATAAAAATGCTAGTTTTTTAAAAAGTAATATGATCGAGGATACAAAAAGCAACTTGACATGTTTACCGCGCAATTTCAAGCAAGTATTTCCGGTCATATCGGGGTCACTCGCGGGTCATGAGCCATGCATACACGTGTTTGTTACGGAGGTAATAAAAATCACCCGCTGCAGCGTGAATGGGTACATGATATTTATCCCGCTGCTGCAGCGGGATAACTTTTCTACTGTGAATGCATTTGTAGCGGTGTTATGGCGGTGTCGCCGCTCCGCTACAACGCCGCTACAAATTTCAAAACCACTGTGAATGGGGTATTAGAATAATTCATTTAATTGAGAAGCAAAAACCCCAAATGATATTACATATTAGGCTTGTTTTATCCTTTATAAGACACATTTGGCAATTTTTGAGGGATAATTTTGTATTATATTTTTACACTTTGAATGTAACCATATTATATTTTATCATTTTTTAACGACAGAAATATGTTTTATGTTTTTCAGTGTGTTTGCAATTTATGTTTTGTTTGAATTGATTTCATATTGATTGGTATATTTCACGAAGTAATGGATCATTACTATTGAAGTGTTATGATACATGTATAACAGTGAAAAGGGACTTCCACTGTTTCAGATATCTTAAGGACTTAATTCTACTTCAATTACGGTAAGAGCTCATTTGCTGTCAATGCCCATAAACAGATTCTCACTTCCAGGGAGGTTCGTGAGAGCGTCGGCCAATGAGACATTCGGCCAATGAGACCGTCAGCCAATGAGACAAAAAACAAAACAAAGAAATACATAAGGGAAGATTGAAGAACAGTAATCTCATCGGCCGTCAGTCTCCAGAACTCTGTCAAAAGTGGCTAAAAGGACCATGAGACCGATTTTGTCGGTCTAGTTGGCTGTCGGTCTTGTAAGGCTGTAGCCAGTGTGTAACAAATATGTTTTTTTTCCCGTTTTACATTGCAACATTCCTAAGAAAATCCAATGATATTATCTTTCTTCAACAGTGACCATTGTACATTTTCAAATGTATAGGGCTTTCAGATGCTTCGGATCAAATTATTATTCATTAAAATACTCGCTGTTTTTCTGAGTCTTGAAGAACGATATCCAAAATTTGTTCATATGATCTGAAGAGATGGTCTCGCGGGAGTTGTTATGGGGAGAAAAAAAAATCATGTTGTCTGCTGATTTTCCCTGTAAACCTGTGGAGTATGATAAATGAACAGTCCAGAGACCCATTTCACAAAGCCTTTTTTCAACGACAGATGATACAAATTATTAACAAATCTGCTGATGACCAACCAGAAGCTAGGATTTCACTAGCTTATAACAAAAACTGTCTGATGACAAGTTTTGTGAATCTGGGCCGTGCACTGTGCAGTTTAGTTTTAGACTGATATGTCTTACTTACAACCAGTCAACTACTCCAAAATATCTGCCTTTGTGAGGGATATTTCTCAAAATCAAAGCTTTTCTCAAACCAAAATGAGGGTTCTCCGCTCTCTCAGAGGTTATGCTTGGAGCTATCCTGAGTGTGATGATCTCCCATCACTTTGGAATTCCCCTGAATTTGGTGTGAACAGTCTGTGTTGCATTGCACATGGGGACTCCTGCGTGACCAAGTTTGTGTATCTTTGCAAGTTTCCATTGCTAAATTTGTGACCAAATACTTATTCCTTGCCATATTTTTATGCAGACATTTCTACTTTTAACATTTTGAATTTGTAAAGAACAAACGTGTTAATGCATGTAGCATACATGTACTGTGCTCTTTATCTCATATTGGAGCATATCGTATAATTTTGTGGAATGACAGTGCCATAGGTATTCCAATACTTCAGGGAATTTTTCTTCTGGGAATTTTTCTTCTGGTAACTGTCTTCATTTGTTCATACAGTTACCTAAGGTTTTTTTTCCTTTCTTAAAAAAAAGGGAGTAGATTACATGTCCCCCTACACAGCAATAGCCATTATTATCTTGGATTTATCTTATGAAAAAAAAGATAGTGTTTTGTTGGATTTGTGTCCTCAGTTGGAATGAAATAATCATGCAAAATATGAAGCTAGAAATTAAATACAGTACTCTGATTTAAGGGTATGGTAAGATGCAAGATGGTAATATGTTTGTATTGGTTGTGGCTTTTATCATATTAAAATTCACCCATAAAACTGTACTTTGCTTGATTCTGTGATTCATGGTGTGACATTTTGGCGTCGAACGACAGATGCATTGCAAAGATGTCAGTGATGGTGATAGAAGTGATTAAATTAGAGTTTGGTGACGGTGATGATGATGATGGTGGTGATGATAGTGATGATTATGATGATGATGATGATGATGATGGTGGTGATGATAGTGATGATTATGATGATGATGATGATGATGATGGTGGTGATGATAGTGATGATGATGATGATGATGATAGTGATGATTATGATGATGATGATGATGATGATGGTGGTGATGATAGTGATGATTATGATGATGATGATGATGATGATGATGATGGTGGTGTTGTAAAGGGATTCATTCACTTGACTTTCATTCCAAGGGCAGAGGAGTCTTATCCCAGCCTGGCACTCAATGTTTTTTGGCAAGACACAATTAGTTCACATTTGCTACTCTCTATCCGGGTGTAAATGGGAACCTGGAAACTGCTAGGGTATAGATACTTGCAGGGCCCTCGGGAAGAACAGTATTGAAGCTGATCAGGATTCCTCGGTAAACAAAATTATTATTAATAGAAGATAAAGATTATAATACTAATAGTAAATATGATGATGATAGTGGTGGCGGTGATGATGATTAAGATGATATATTAATGTAGATGATGGTAAAGGTGGTGATGACGGTGGTGGTGATGATGAAGATGATCATGTCAACGATAATGTGGAGTTGTTGTGGTAAAGTGGTTCATTCATTTGACTCTCATTCCAAGGGCTGAGGCGTAGTATTCCAGCCCAGCCCAGCAGTCCTCAGGAAGAACATTGAAGCTGATGAGGCTTCCTGCTGGGTGAACAAAACTATTATTAAAAGGAAATGATGATTAAGAGGATATATTAATGTAGATGATGATGGTGATGCATGACCGTGGAGGTGATAATGTTGATGATCGATGGCAACGATGGCGATGTTGATGGTATGGAGGTGTCGGGGGTATATAGTGGTTCATTCACTTGACTCTCATTCCAAGGGCTGAGATGTCGTATCCCAACCCAGCACTAACGTCCTTTAGCAAGAC